AAACGCTAACCCAAAAAATTCCCAATGAATTCCATTTTGATTTCCATATGGATTGAGGGGAGATGATATTTTTAATGGGGAAAACAAATAGAAAATCAACTCTACACGGATTGTTCAGCTGGTTTAAGTATGAACTGATGCTCCTCTGTTCTCACGGACTATACTTGGGATTATAGAGCAGGTTGATGACCACCAAGAACTTCCGAGCCCCCAGAAAGAGCCATAATGCATAGGTCTACCCAACATGGGGACTTAGAAAGGATTTATTAAGTAGCTTAGCTTTGTTTGCATTGATAAATGAGCCTTTCTAAAAAAAGATTTTCTTTTTTTTTAAACTCGGATTCTAAGTGAGCCAGCTGCAGATGCTGTTGTCATTATGAGAAACCGTCCATCTAGCTTTCTTTCAAAATCTCCCAAGCCCTATCCAGGTGTTGAGATTTAAGGATGTGCCATTTCTTCCATCAGCTGCACAGGATGGACTCACCCACACTGTCAGCACCTCGTGCACAAGAGAAGGCTCTCTTTGTATACTTCCTCAAGGCACCTCAGTGTAGCTGTCTCATTCTGTTTCAAATTAACATCAGTGGTCATTTCCGCTGGCGATGCTGTGTAAAAGGAACTCTATATCCTTCAACTGTTCTCGGTTTGCAGGGCACCATGGGAGGCTGTTAAGATATGCAAATTGTGTTGTCTCAATGTACGCTCCTGGGTAATTTTTTCCCTCTTCCTTTTAGGAAATCTAAAAGAACGTGTTAGAGTTTGGCTCCTAATACTGGAGGAAATAGAACAGTGAGTGTGGGTTCTCCCTATGAATCTTCTCTTGAGGACAGATTTTCTAATAAGGTTGAATGCCACACTTTGGGGCATATGGCAGGGACCAGTGAAATTGCCTGGTAAAATCACTAAAGCAATCTTTAAATATGCTGAGACACGGTCACTATCATATGAATGTTTGCTGATTACTTTTCTAGATATAAAATTTCACCATAGAATGAATTCTGCAGATACGATCTGTAAGTAGTTTTAAGTCACATGGTGAATAATCGAGTTTTATCTCTGTGACCTAATAGTTAAGAATATAGGAGGGACGAGACTGCCCAAGTTCAAATGCTCACTTCCATTGACTATGTGATGTGCGTTGCTTAAAATCTCTACATTTTGGCATCCTCATTTTTAAAATCAAGATTATAAATCCTAGCTCATGGTCTATCGCCAGATAGTGTTCCTGTCAAGCGGTCATCATTCATTCTAGGAAAGCTAATATTGTTATTGTTATTTAATTGCTTTGGGGAAAATAAGTAGTTGATTGAATATTGCTTATCCCGGGCATTATTTGAGAATTCTTAATGACCCATTTCTGCATCAGGGATCTGATCAATTGCAGCTGAATTCACCCCATCCACCTGTTCCATATAATCGATAGATAATTTAATAATAACTTTCTTATAGTAATTAAGCCAGCACAATAATACTGTTTTTGCCATAGTGGAAATAGAAAAACAGAAGTGATACAGACTCTAGCAAATGGCTTAGTGTAAAGGTGTAGTTCTAATTTAAATACCCCATAATAGGTCACTAGTGCAGTGTGTGTCCTGTGTGTCCCCCCTGTCCCAGTCATTCCTCCTCTCCCCGTCTGACACAAGACAATAGCTCCTAGCTCTTTCTCCTCACCCTTCTTAATAAAATCCATATTGTCCAAACAATGGCTGCTAGTTCATAGGCACAATTCCTCCTTCTTCTAGAACCATCTTTGACCAACTATTCCAGAAAATTGTCACTGAAAGGCACCACCTGCTGAAGCCCTACAGAAGATTCTGCCCTCCCTGCCCTGACGTTTTGCAGGAAAGGCTTATTCATGGCGCCCTTGTTGATTTTCTCCCACAGTAGTCTGTATTTTCCTTTTTCCCAAGTTTAAGAAATGTTTCTCACAAATGGCAGAATATCTTATTTTTTATCACCCGTCATCATTTTGAAAATAATCATTTGAGAGAACAATAACAAATTATGATTACTGGTAAGAAAGCAAACTCTTTCAAAAGTCCGTAAATCAGGGCTCTTGTCCAGGATATGCTACCCCAGGATATGGCATCTTGGCCTATTGAGTATTTCAAGTTGAAGGTGTTGGAAAAAATGGCAGAAGCAGGCAGGATGCTCTGACCTCCTTGCCCTCTTGCTTTTCTGTCCTGAAGCAGGTCCTAAAACGCTCATGAGAGAAGAGCCACCCTCTGTCCGCAGGAAAGGAGCATCCTTGTCTCTGAGAAAAGGGGATCTCGAGAAGAATCCTCACAAATGGGCCTCACTAAGTTTTCCCCAGTTTTCCCACCATTACCTCATAGTCCTTAACCTGTCCTATTTCTCCAGAACTGTCCACTCATCACACCTGGCATTTAAAATGCACAGGTCTTACTGTTTTTTGGGGTCTTCATTTCCTTACAGAGGCTCCGGGTCACATAAAACTTACATGAAATAAATGTGTATGCTTTTCTACTATTAACCTGTCTTTGTCAGTTTAATTTTCACACCCAGTCAGGAATCAACCCTAAGAGGGTTGAGGAAAACGTTTCCTCCTCCACATCAGCTTGGATTTAGACTCTGGGGCATGACACATTTAGAATTAATTCTAGAAGCCCCTTACAACAAAATGTCCCAGTTGGTTAAATGCTTCCATTAAAAGTCAAGTAACTCCTGGCACTCTTCTCAAATATTATAAAAAAGTCCGATGTGGAAACAAAATAGGTAAAGTCACAGCTGCCCTAGGAGAGACTCAGAGATACTGCAAGTTAAAGGAGCTCTAGACCAGGGATCATCAAACTAAGATCCGCATGCTAGATTCAGCTGGCCTCCTGTTTGTTTTTGCCTAGGAGTTAAGAGTGGTTTTTATATTTTTATTTTTTTTTTTTTATTTTTTTATTTTTATTTTTTTTAAAGACTCCATTTATTCATTCATGAGAGAGAGAGAGAGAGAGGCAGAGGGAGAAGCAGGCTCCCAAGGAGCAGGGAGCCCGATGCGGGACTCGATCCCAGGACGCTGGGACCATGACCTGAGCCGAAGGCAGACGCCCAACCATCTGAGCCACCCAGGCGCCCGGTTTTTATATTTTTAAATGGTTGAGGAAAAGCATAAAAAGAAGAATCATATTTTGTGACATGTACCTATTATGTGAAATTGAAAATTCTGTAACCGTAAATAAAATTGTGTTGGAAACACAGCCACATCCAATTGTTTGCCCTTAGTCATTCTGCTTCTGACTTGCAAGAGCAGAACTGAGTAGTTGGGGAAAAGACCACTGGCTCCCAACCCCAAACATCTTGACTATCTGGCCTTTTATGAAAAAAGTCAGCTGAGTCCTGTTACAGACCATCGGAATTATAGATGGCCGTTAGAGTCCAATTTTCAAAGCTCATTTTCATGTGTTGGTTTAGATGACATAAGAAATTGCTTATATTACAGAGTTAAGGAAATAAAAGCACGATGGGAATTATATACAGTGTAATGTTGATTATGTAAAATCAAAATGAGTAAACGACTTAAAAAACAAATATGCTTATATATTAACAGTATTTGACCTCAGATTGAAATTACACACATTCTGTCCCCTGCTTTTCTCTGCTCTTTTGGGATGTCTACAAACTAGAAAATCAGAAGAAAGTAATGAAAACAGTTTTAAATAGAGCTTATTTGTATGACAGTCTGTGAAGGTGTTTCTACACTTCGGTTCTCGTACATCAAACAAGGGACATATTTTATAATTTATAACTATATTCTGCTAGTTAAGGCTCCAAAGACCACATCTAGTTAACTTTATCTCGAAAAATCCATATAACACATATTTTTTTTTCCAAAATAACTCTTAAATTATTAAATACGTTTAATGGAAATCAGAATCTAATTCTATGAGTAAGCTAAATGTTATGTTTCTATTATTTTGTTAAACTAAGAGAAATATTGCTAATGAATTAGCTACAAATTGTAAATTTTGAATGGGGAATGTAGTTGTTGGAGTTCAAGAATACATTTTAAGTTTCAAATGATTTATTTGACTGTTTAGTTATACATGGAGAAAATCCATTTATATAAATATTAATTTTGTGGGAAACATTTTCCATTTTCCTTTTTTTTTTTTTAATGAAAGAGGATTTAAAAAAAACAAAACAAAACAAAACCCTAAACTCAAGCTCTTTGCTATAACTCAAGTACACTGAGAAGGATACAGTTCCAGCAGATGTTTACCTATTTGGAAATGAAATACGGAGATGTACATGAAGATTGATAAAGATGTGCGTATATGTGCATATATTCAAGGCCAGGTAACTCTACAGATTTATGTATGATTAATTTCAGTTAAAAGAATTGTACCTTATAGATTTGTTTTTCTGGTCATGATTTGCATTGTCAGTAATTTTGTAAATGGCTATCCAGAGAGGACATTTGTTATTGGCTAGGCTGATGTATTGGGCCATTTTGATCATTCTTCATTTACGAAGCATTTGTTTGCTTCCATTTGCTTGTGGCAGATTGAAGCAAACAGAAACAGGCTTTCAAATCATTATAAAGCCAAGTATTTTTTGCAGCGAAATACGTGATGAACAGAACTTTAGAGAGCCAAGTAAGAAATAGATGCATCTAACAAAAGCTGGTCCTTCTTCCAAAATACAATCATCACTTCTTAATTATTGTTGTGTTTTTTTTTAACATCTTCTTTACAATTTCTCTATTCCTTTTTGTGAAATGAAAGAACACAGTGGTTTTTTGGGGGGAAGAAAAATATGTCAAAAATGAAACAAATTGTTGCCTGAATGTTCACTTCAAGTAACTCAAGTACATAAACCTTATGAATGAAAGAGTATTAAGTTACGCTAGGCCATGCACTTATGTTTTAAGGGAGATCGTTAGCTTGTAAAAATAACTCATTAAAATGTTGATTTTGTTTTTCCTTCATCTTATTAGAACAGGCATGAAAATGTGTGATATGTACGATCATACCGTCTTCTGCACACAGGGTACTTTTTTTCTCCGAACTTGAACAAAAACCTCAGAATTCTCAGCTGAAGTCAGCACATGAGATGGACCCGATCCATTGCTTTGGAGGTGAGCTCTTCAAGGTCAAGGCCTCCTTGCGTTCATCCATCTACCGCTAGATAGAGTTGTATTCATAAGAGCCAACACTTAGGCAGTGCTATCCATGTCCCAGACGCTTTCCTAAGGGCCCTCATCAGTTGCCTCATGGACCCCTCTTGACAGCCAAATGCCCCTAGGGGCCATAATCCCCATTTCACAGATGAAAACACAGGCCCCACAAGGTTTGGTAAATGTGCCCAAGGCACACAGCTGTGAAGTGAGAGAACCGGAATTCAAGCCCAAATTCCATCCCGGCTCCAGCACCTGGGTGGGCTAGGCCCGCATAGCGCAGCTTCTTTAGAATGCAGTAGTTGCTTCTTAAGTGTCGAAAAGAGCTATAAATGTGTGCTTCTGGTTGTGGAGGGAAGCACATATACTCAGTAGATTTGCTCATCAAAGCACCTGTTCCCGGGGCGCCTGGGTGGTACAGTCGGTTGAGTGACCAACTCTTGATGATCTCAGGGTTACAAGATTGAGCCCCTCAACCAGGGATTCACGCTGAGCATGGAGCCTGCTGGAGCTTTTCTCTCTCCCTCTCAGTCTGCTCCTCTCCCCGTTCCCCCCTCCCACCTCAGTCTCTCTCTGGCACTCTCCCTCTCTCTATCAAAAAAAAAAAAAAAAAGGCACCTGTTCCTAAAAGTCCCCACTCTTGTCCACCTCAACCCAACCTTCATCAAATGCCTTTCTCCCCATCACTGTTCTCTGGAAGCAACACCATAAAATTATGCACTAATTACTGTGAATCCTAATTTTGTTAATTTCCAATGGTTATCTAACCTTTTAAAATATTTTCCGTTTAAAGAATAAATTAAATGTTATCCCAGAGGAATCCGTTACTAATAACAGGAAAGACTTTGGGGGGCCGGAGGCCCCTCTGTAGCACTGCTTCTAAAATCCAGCCACCAAAAGGCCATTCATACTTAATGTGACCCATTGCTCATGGAAAGCATTGGAGACAAGGTACCAGGACCTCTAATAAGTTGAGGAGCTCACAAAAGTGTTTTAAATTATTTTAAAATTAAACACTGTACTTCAAGGTCAAATAAAAGCTTTAATATATAGTACTAACATTTATTTTCATACCAATGCAGTTTTATTTTTTATTTCTTTTGAAGATTTTATTTACCTATTTGAGAGAGAGAGAGCGAGACAGAGATAGGGAGAGAGAGAGCATAGTAAAGAGGAGAACATAGTGAAGAGGAGAGGGAGAAGCAGGCTCTCTGCTGAGCAGGGAGCCCCATGCGGGACTTGATCCCGGGACCCTGGGACCATGACCTGAGCTGAAGGCAGACGCTTAACTGACTGAGCCACCCAGGTGCCCACCAGTGCAGTTTTTAAAATATGATTTCTACTTCCTTCTCTTTCCATCTCTCCCCCTCCCTCCCCAGGCATTCCCTTCCTTCTTTTCTCCACTTCTTTATTTAATGGAAGAAGGGAGCTATGAAAGCAAAAATGCTTAGGGTCATAATGTGGCTGGTTGCTGAAGAGAAAACTATTTACTTGCATGCTTCCACTTTCTTCTGACAAGTTAACTGAATCTAAGAGAGAAAAAGAAAGAAACAGCAACAACAAAAAACCCCCACAAAACAAACCCCTTTTTGATCATATAAATAACTGAATCTAAAAATATTTTTTTTCCTATAAAATGGTTTCCATGGTTTCATAAAGAGAATGGTTATAGTCTCTCCCATTCCTGTGCTTTGTTATTTCACAAGAAACTTGGGGATTTGGAGATCTGATCTTTCTCTTTGTGTCTTGGTTATTCTATTAAATAACTAAATAGGGTTAACCAGGAGCAACAGAAGTTAACATTTTATTTGTGTTCCAAAATATAACTTTCTGATTTTGTTCAGGGGAAAATGTTTTTATTTCTGTGCAAACTGTCATATGATTATTTTAGGTAACTTCTATTGTTTTTTTTGAAGATTTTATTTATTTATTTTAGAGAGAGAGAAAGAGAGCATGAGCAGGGGGTGGGGGGCCAGGGGTAGAGGGAGAGGGAGAGAGAATCTCAAGCCGACTCTGTGCCAAGTAGAGAGCCTGAAGCAGGGCTCTATCTCATGACCCTGAGTTCATGAGCCAAAATCAAGAGTCGGACGCTCAATCGACTGAGCCACCCAGGTGAGCCAAGTAACTTTCATTGTTAAAATAAGAACAGTTTTGATAACTTGTCACATATTGCTAAATTAACAAAAATTTAATGCTAAAGTAATAGCAATGCCAAAAGATTTTTTTTTTTAAAGATTTTATTTATTTATTTGAGAGAGAGAGAATAAGAGACAGAGAGCATGAGAGGGGGTAGGGTCAGAGGGAGAAGCAGGCTCCCTGCTGAGCGGGGAGCCTGATGCGGGACTCGATCCCGGGACTCCAGGATCATGACCTGAGCCGAAGGCAGTCGTTTAACCAACTGAGCCACCGAGGCGCCCCAACAGTGCCAAAAGATTTAGCTACGAAATTTTGAGGTACTAAATCTTTAGCCTTCTCAGAAGTCGTGCATTAAGAGAATGGGTTTGGGATATTTCAGACCAGGACTTTCAAATTTGTTCTATCTAGCACAGTCGCCACTAGTCACATATGACTGTTTAAATTTAATTTAAATTAATCAAAATTAAAAAGTAGAGATTCATTTCCTCAGTCACACCAGCCACATCTCAAAAGCTCAGTACTCTCATATAGCATTTGGCCACCATTTTGGAAATGGCAGATACAAAGCATTTCCATCATTATAGAAGATTCTATGGACTTGGTCAGAGGTTAGCACATAAATAGTTTAGGCTTTGTAGCCAAATGGTGTTTGTTGTAACTACTCAGCTCTGTCATTGTAGTGGAAAAGCAACCGTAGACAATATATAAACCAATGGGTGTGGCTTTGTCCCAATAAAAGTTTAGTTAAAAAAAATAGGCAGTGGGGCGCCTGGGTGGCTCAGTTGGTTAAGCGACTGCCTTCGGCTCAGGTCATGATCCTGGAGTCCCGGGATCGAGTCCCACATCGGGCTCCCTGCTTCTCCCTCCCGACCCTCCCCCCTCTCATGCTCTCGCTCTGTCTCTCTCTCTCAAATAAATAAATAAAATCTTTAAAAAAAAAAATAGGCAGTGGGCTAGGTCTGGCTACAGAATATAGTTTGCCACCTCATGCAGGGCACTAAACACTGGTTAGACACAGTATAAACATGCAATAAATAGTATACTTTTCTTGAGTTTTTAAAAACAAGGAAAGTAACTAAAAGACAGGAAATAACTTAAAAGTCCAGTAGTTTTTGTAAATATAATTTGGTGTGTTCCAGGGATGTAATAGCTGTAATTACTTTAATATAACACTGTAAACAAAACAAAACAAAAAACCCAAACCCCAAAGCTGAAAAGTGTTTAGTGGGAAGAAAGATGCTTCTGATCCATCTTTATATTTGAAGGAAATTCTATAGGTTATAGGCCTATTTTTTTTTTTTTTTAAAGGGGACAGAAACACATACAAGTGGTTACACATCTCCGTGCAGTGACTTAGGTAAGTTTTAATTTCACTGTCTTTGCTTACCTGTGTTTTTCAAAATTTCCTACACATAATCTCTTTTATTTTTTATAATCAAAAGAAAGCAAGTACGAAACTAATAAAAGTAACTGGAGTCTTAATTTTCCTACAGCACATTCCTGATGTTGGTGAGGGAAATGCCCCGAATGTGCTCTGTTCTTACTGAAGCACACCATTGTCCCGTTCTATTTAGTCTGTTTCTGTATACATATTTTATAAACACCTTTGGTATGAGACAAAACAGTAATAGTGTGAAGGTGGTCAAGCATGGAAATCGTGAGTAACTGAGAGATACGGTTTAATGGACGGCTGGATCGTTTATGACTTCAAGATAATCATTTGGAACTTAGGAGACAATTTCATAGACAAAACCCCTCCTTTGCTCACCAATTTTGTCTTCTTGTTACCTAAATATAAAAACAGGAGTTTAAAATATTTTCCATATATGAACCGTGTTGCATCTTTATCAGCAGTGGGTACACACGTATTAGGGATCAGTGTTGTACAAAACCAATGAAACCAGCCAACTCCATGTTCCCTGAGAATTTATAACATAAGAAAATGTCTACAACAAAGTATTAGGAATAAAAATGGATTCATACACTGCTTGGATTTGGGTTATAATATAGACAAAACATACAAATGTCAAACCGAATTTTTAAATTTATATCCTAGAGTTTTATTTTAAAAAACAGACAAATACACACACACATAAAAGAGAAACAGAAAACTTTTGAATGTGTATTATGCAAATGCACAAATAGTGAATTTGAAATGTACCTTAAAGTTAAACAATTCAGTACAAATATTTGCTCCATCAGGAAACAGCATTATCACGATTTCTGGCAATATTTTTATTAGAAATCAAATGCAGCTTTCTTAAAAAAATTGTCCTTTTTCTGTGTTTGGAGCAACAGAAGACCAGGGAAGTTTAAGGGTGATTTAAAGATGTCTTCTACCTAAAATAGTCTGTTTCACTAAAGTTGGCAGCCTGATCCCTTTAGTTTGAATTGTCACGAAATTGATCACAACTGGCAATTATGAAGTAGCTAAACATGCCTGTATTTTTATCTTCTTTTGATGGGCAAAAATTTGGTTATAGGATAGATTAGTGTACATAAGAAAGGGAAACCTGTTTCCCTTTTCAGCTGAGAAAACCTCATTTGGGTAATGGTGTGATTTTCCATCTGAGGTGGTTATGCAGGCGTTAGTCAAGGAGCCCTATAGGAAAGGACGAGATGTTAAGTTTTACCTCAAGAAACATTTACAAGTCCTGTTTGGCAGCATTTTCTCTCAGAACAAGCTACGCTGTATATTTCAGAGAAATTGAAACCATATGTTGACACTTAAAAAACCTTGAGAAATACCACTGGAGTTTGCAAGAAAACATATAAATATAATCAAATCGTTGTAGAATATGTCTACTTGGATGACCTGTAACACTTCACTTGTTTTTCGAGGACCTGTATTAGTGATCTTAATGCTATTAACTGTAATACACTGTGACCTAATTTAAACCAACTGATTGAGTTCATATTAAGCTCTTCATCTTATATTTCCAAATTGAAATGAAAAGATTTAATCGTACCCGCTTCAATTTTAGTAATAATTACGTTTCCTTGCTGATCCTTGGCCTCTAGAGCTTTCCTGTCGAAAGACCGAGGTCTTGGAACTTGACTTAGGCCAAAATGAAGCCTCAATAAGAAAACACAATTTGGGTCATCTTTAGGCTGGCAGCTGTATGATGAACTGCCAACAGACATTCCAATTTCTCCAGTACCCTGACCAGTCACTTCTGTCCACAAAGATTGAAAACAACCCTCCAAAGGCAATGACTTCAATCTTAATTTAAAGATGGACACCTGATGCACTTAAATTGTAATTTAAAGCTAGATACAGGAAAGTTCTCCTGGAGCCCCAGAAATATACCTATTTAGAGGTAAATACGGTGATAAAATATCGAGTGATCTTTGCCTATAGAAGATTCTTCACTTGAATCAAAGCATTAATGGTATCGTTGCCATGGTGTGATTTTAGAATTCTATCCACATGGAAAGCATAAAAGAAAAGCATGGTTATGATTTTTTCTGCATTGCGTTGAGTTGGAGATTCTGTGATGGGGCCTCAGAAAGGGAAAATCCGATGTCATCATCTAATTCTCACTGTATCTACTGGGTGTTCCCACTCGCGCTGTCACCTGTGAGTCTCCTAATCTCCATTTGCTGTGACTGCACGGATGAGTGCTCTTGGTTGGCTGCTCCTCTCTGCCCATCTTTTTTGTTGTTCTTGTTGTTAGTTTAATGGACTATTTGATATTGAAAATAAGGCAGTTTTGTTAATGCGGTTTTTCACATGTTTCTTCCATACACTTATTCTTTTTCTTCAAATTTTATTTCATGAACAGCCTATTTCTACTTGCAAATCAGGTCCATCTTGCCAATTTTCTTTTTATTTATTTTTAAAAATTTTTATTGTTATGTTAATCACCATACATTACATCATTAGTTTTTGATGTAGTGTTCCATGATTCATTGCTTGTGCATAACACCCAGTGCTCCATGCAGAACGTGCCCTCCTCAATACCCATCACCAGGCCAACCCATCCTCCCACCCCTCTCCCCTCTAGAACGCTCAGTTTGTTTTTCAGAATCCATCGCCTCT